AGAGCAGGAAATAAAACTCGACTTTCTGGCGAACATCTCACCCGCCAATTAAGTAATTACTGAAGGATGTTCAGAAAAATTCTCTAGACCTCTTCCTACGACCGTTAAGTTTGCAGATTTCGGCTGTTTAATTTTTCAGACTCCTTGCGAGCCTCACTAGGGTGATAAATTTAAGCTCAAAAGAACCATATAAAAGTTTAAAAAACCTCTCGATTTATAATGTTAAAAAATGTTCTGTACTTACCAGGTTTAAAAACAAATAATAATTTAGAAAAATTTACCTGGATAAGGGCTTCTCAAATGTCCACCATTGGAGGCCGGGCTACTATGTTGTCATGTCCAGTACCCCATGGTCTCTCGCGGACAACGATTGGACCTTTATTTGGTATATCCATATGCACGCGGCTGACTGTTCAAAAAACGTAAATTAAACTGTTGAAAAGTATGGATAAATAAATAAGCACTAATTGAATTTTGAATAAACCAGAGATCTGGGGCGAAATGCCTGAGCATCTGAGCAGAGTACATTTCAGTCCAGCTAGACAACTCGTCATGTAACGCTAAGAAGAATCGTTGCGTGACGACCCTCACTAGCATTCCCGCGGATAGTCACGTGGTACATACCCTGCATAGCTATAGAGGTGGATGCTCGCCCAGTGAGTTTGATCTCCTAATTTTGTGGCCCTCTCGGGTTTTTGTACTAAAGGCATGGCCGGCGGAAGATACGATCATTATGACTATCTCTACAAGATTGTCTTGATTGGCGATTCTGGCGTTGGAAAATCTTCCCTTCTATCTCGTTTCACGCGAAACGAATTCGACCTTGAGTCGAAATCAACCATCGGTGTTGAATTTGCCACACGAAGTATTCAAGTAGATGGCAAAGTGATCAAAGCACAGGTATGTCGTACTTGGCTCTATTTTCAGATGAAAAAAATCCCTTCTTGCGTTTGAGTGAAGAGGAGTGTTAAATGCTCTGCATGTTTTGTGTTGAAATGTAGGTGAGTATCAAGCTGTTTAAAAATATTACATTCGATTATTTTGTCTAAATTTTTCTTCGCGCTAGTAGGGCTTAAAAGCGGAAATAAGCTTAATTTGATAATTCAGGAATAAATAAAATTCCACCATGCGAGGTTGCTAGATTAACAAGGAGTTAAGTCGTTAAAGTTTAAACTGAAATATTAACATATTGTTAATCCTTTGTTCATTAACAATACATTTTGGCATGATCCCTTTTAGTTTAAAGTACAATCGCTGCATGAATGATTGATCATGTCGAGTGTCCATATCGATCAGAGGCTTGTATTCTTCGAGTCAACGATGTCTTGATTTAGAACAACGGGGAATTTTGAAAATGCAAAAGTTAGTCATAGAAACGCTTAAAAAACGGAAAAGATTTGATGTCCTTCCATAATCTTCACATGCCATTTGCTTTGTGGGGCTTGTCTTAAGAGCGTGATTTGACCAAAGTTCGCCATGAATTTTGTCAGGAATATTTTTATGTTTTTTTCCTGGCTGAAATCATCTGTTTTC